GAAAAATTGGCTCTCCACATGCCAAAGACTGAAACTAGATCAGTGCCTATCACCATGCACAAAACTAAAGTCTAAATGGATCAAAGACCTAAATATTAAAACAGAAACACTAAATCTACTGGAAAACAAAGTAGGTAGAAGTCTTAGAGACATGGGGGTAGGCAGAGAATTCATGAACAAAATGCAAACTGCATGGGAAACACTTCAAAGAATCAACAACTGGGATCTCATATTATTGAAAAGTTTCTGCACTTTAAAAGAAATCACCAACAGCGTGAAAAGAAAACCCACAGAATGGGAAAAAATTACATCCAGCAATCTCTCAGAAAAAGGACTTATATCCAGAACATATAAAGAACTGAAAAACATCAAGTCTCCCAAATTCAAAGACCCTCTCCAGAAATCGGCATCTGAGATCAATACACAGTTCTCAGATGAAGATATATAAATGGCAAATAAGTACATGAAGAAATGTTCACCATCACTGGTCATTCAAGAAATGCAAATTAAAACAACACTGAGATTTCATCTCACCCCAGACAGAATAGCAGCCGTCAAGAAATCAACTGATAACAAATGTTGGCAAGGCTGCGGGGGAAAAAGGAACACTTCTTCACTATTGGTGTGAGTGTAGACTGGTGGTGCAACCACTAAGTAAATCAGTATGGAGAATTCTCAGAAGACTAGGATTAGAAGTTCCATTCAACCCAGCTCTCATCCTTCTGGGTATTTTCCCAGAAAAACTGCAAAGGTCATATCACAGCGATATATGTGCACCCATGTTCATAGCAGCACAATTTGTAATAGCTAAATCTTGGAAACAACCAAGATGTCCATCAACTACAGAATGGATGAACAAGATGTAGTATTTTAATACAATGGAATTGTATAAAAAGAAATGACATTGAGGCCTTAATAGGCAAATGGGAACAACTTGAGGCTATCCTCATTAGTGAAATAAATAAGAATCATATTCATAAATATCACATTGTATCTCTAGTGTAAACAGTAATAAATGTAGGAGTAATAAAACCCAAAATGTGTAATCGCTATTGTAAAAAAGAGAGGAAAAGAAAGTGCTCTAACGGAAATAACTGCATATATGTTATATAAGATTGATAACCATATTACTAAGTTTTTGTTGGATAGTTGAACAGTAATGTATGCAGTCTCGCTGTTTGAATGTCCACTTTTTATGCTTCACTTTTGTAACCTGAACAACTATTTTTTTTAATTTTAAAGAAAGACTAAACAAAACAGAAAATAGGTAGAAATAATACATATGTTCAGAGAAAAAATAAACAGTAAGAAATCACTAGTTGATCATTACAACTATTTCTAATATGACAATATGTAATTATCAACTAGTGATTTCTTACCGTTTTTTTTTTCAAATTATCTATTATTTCTACCCTTTTTGTGTTTTGTTTATTTTTTCTTTAAATAAAAAAAGGCTAAAACACATTCACTAAAGATCAAGTGAAAAAAATTTAAAAACCTATATCCACATACTTACATATAACTTTCTTTAAAAACATAATTACAAAAACTAAAAGGAGGAATACAACTACCCAGGAAAAATTAGACTCCTCTAAAAATATGTAAAAATTCAACTGCAAAAAGGAAACGTAGCTGGGTGTGGTGACACATGCCTATTAATCCCAGCACTCAGGGGATGCTGAGGCAGGAGGATCTCTGCAAGTTCAAAGCCAACCTGAACTGCATAGTGAAACTCTGTCTCAAAAATACAAAAAGAGTAAACATACTCTATCAGAGTTCATTGACAAAACTGACAAAGCACTGATAAATAAATGAGCACATCACAAATTTTATAAAAAAAAAGAGGTACAAACAGAAAATGAGATGACTCAAGAGGGTTAACAGCATGTAGCTAATGACATGCTTCTATATTAACAGGTTGTGAATGCTATCCCAGAATGCACAGACATAGAGAGAAAAAAAATCTCCAAACTCATGGTAAAGCCTGCTGCCACCAGGCCTGTCTTGGATTCTTCACTGTTCTTAGTCTGCTACAGGGGGCATCAAACCTAAGAAATTCTACATCTATCCAACCTCAAATTGCAATGTTTCAACTGCTACAATTATAAAAACAGAAAGGGGAAATGTCAGGTACAACAGATTATAAATCCAGTCTAGGGGATATCTGAGGCCATCCCTGTCCTGCCATTTGAGCCACACTGGAATGCAGATACTCTCTAATAAACCTGTCAAGTCTCCCCACTATCCTCATCAGCATAAAGATTAGCATAAGACCACCACCACCCTTTCAATCATCCGGTAATTCCCTCACCATTTTCCTCAATTAATATATGCTGAGGTTCTCAGTGCTTCATGGCCTTTTGTTCCCCATGAACAACTGGTCATCCCATTGCCTTATTTCCTCATCTTTGTGTCTTGCTCTTTCTTTTTAGTATGCTTTGTAGCACTTCACAGGAAAATTGAGGACTCACTTCAGGGGTCCCCAGTACATGCCTGTAATCTTGGCACTCAGGAGGCTGAAACATGTAAATCAACTAAATAACATATGCAGACCAGCCTGGGCTACATCCTGAGACACTGTCTCAAAGAACCACAAAAAGACTACCAAACATTTTAAATGAAATTCTCATTTGAAATCTTAAAAGCATTTAAAATGTGACAGTATCATAACAAAAGCTCCAAATATAATGAAATAATTAAATTATAGTGGAAAGGAGGGTTCTTTTTGATGCTTTTGATCATAAACATTCTGCAAGTCACTAAAGTAAGTTGAAAAAATAAGCACTGATTTTAAATGCCAAGGGTAGGGGGTTGAATAGTAAAGTAAAACATTAGTCTATTTGAAAGGGCAATCCTCTGCCTTATTGGATCATAACCAAGGGCATTCCCCACTCTCTCCTCCCATCCCAGCTATACTTTGATATGATAATAGAATGGGTTCACAGCTCTCTGACCTGCTGGCACTAGTAGCCTCCCTTCTCCTCCTCTTCCCTCCCCCTCCCACACTGGAACTTCACTCCCTAAATCGTGATGCCTATCTCCACCCCCTTCATCCTAGGTAGACCCCTACCTGACTGAGGCTGACCAGATGGCCAGAATTATAAACCTGTTGTTTTTGAGTAACTGTCTTTGTTTGAGCTTGTTTTTTCCTGCCACAAATTCTATAAAAATCTTTGTAATACTGTCTGTGAGGCTTGGAAGTTAGGAAGCTAGAGCCAGCCAAATAAAAGCTTTCTCTGCCTCTCAGGAGAATACAGGCTTGATTCCTTATGCCTTCTGAAAAAGTTTGGTATCCAGTACAAGACCAAAGGTACAATGAAATGGGATGATAATAAAAGAGAAGTATACCTGCCAGAATTTATACCACCAAGACTTTGTGGAAATGCTTGCCTTTAATGGAAAAATACAAAGGCGAAAAAAGGAAAACATGTTAAGGAAGTGTCATTCATAGAACCACAGACTTACACATGGAGCAAATTTCACCCAAATTCGCAGAAAACTTCAAGCAATCAATAGTATGAATATTATTTATTATCAAGGTATAGATTTCTGGTACCCATTTAGCCACAGTGATACATGAATTTACTGGAAATTGATGCTTTCCTGTTAGATTATCAGGCATCTCACACAAACATTTGATCAGGAGCAGTGACCAGTGCCCAGTGTAATAGGACATAGCCCAAAACTAAACAAGTTACTATCAACAAGAAATTGCAGACATTAGATGTCATGATTTTACACATTTGTGTTATCTGACTTTCTTGAAACAATTTAAATAAATTTGAAATTAAAAGAAACTACAAAAAACACATAGTAGGTAACAAAAAGCCTGTAGAAAATATAACAATTGAAATAAGCTCAGATTGGACAGTGACTGGACACAGTAAAACAAAGATCTATAGGAGTAGAAAAGAGATTGGAAAACTGCAGCCAGCATGCAAAATTAAGCCCCACATCTATTTTTGCAAAAGAAGTTAAACAGTCAAATACACTCATTTACATATATCCTCTGGCTACTTTTAAAGCAAATAGGCCGAGTTTTACAAAAGAAGTTAAACAGTCAAATACACTCATTTACATATATCCTCTGGCTACTTTTAAAGCAAATAGGCAGAGAAAAGAAGATGTGACAGATACCACAAGGTTGATCTTTTACAGAATACATTTGCTGAATCCTAGGCTAGAGTAAACATCAGAAGAATTTATCTAGACATAAAGTGGAGATAGGTACACTGGCACAGACTTGTAATTCCAACACTGTGGAAGGTTGAGGCAGGAGGATCCCAAATTCAAGCTCAGCCTGTCCAACTTGGAGACTCAGCAAGACCCCACATTAAAATAAAAGCGTAAGATTTAGCATCTGAAAACAATTCCGAAGTGCACAGCATAGTTTTCCTAACTACAGGCAATATGTCATTATTTACCATGCTCTAGTGCAGTGATGGGGAAACATTTAGAGTTTTCAATGATACAAACAGCCACCCCACCTCACCTTAGCACGCATGAGCAAAATATAGAACAAGAGACAGCAAGTTGAGAAAATGAGAGAAAATGAAAATGAAGGAAACCGGGCGGGGGGGGGGGGACCCAAGAGGAAGAGAGGCAGCAAAAAAACGGATAGAATAAGAAAAAAACAAGAGAAAGAGAAGGATAGAAACAAAGAGAAAAAATGGAGAAAGAGAAAAAATAAGAAAGGGAGAGAGCGAAGACAAGTAAAAATAAAGTAAAAAAGAAATAAAGGTGACAAAAAGAGAAAGTGAGCAAAAAAGATACAGAAACAAAAATACAGCAATAAAAAGAACAGAAGACAAAATTCTTCTGGAAAAATAAGGTGTGTAACTGCTGAAATGTAGTCAGGAACCTCAAGGTACAGCAAACACCAACTGAAGAAATCATTCAGCACTGAAACGAGCACAGAATGTTCTAGAGACTTCGAATAGCCCTCACCCCCAGAGACCAAGATTCAGCGCTCTCAAGACAAGGACAGGTCTATCACCTACCGCCATCCTGAAGACCAAAGGCCCTGAAGTCGCTCGGCACAAGTCCGGAATCAACCCAACAGCAGAATCGGCCCAAGAGTGCAGGCGCACGCCAAGCAGGTCCTGTGGGGCTGACACGGACGGAAGGATAATCACGTGAACCGGAAGTAGTCACTCGGGAAACACGCCCCTAAGCGACGTGTAACTTGCTACAGCTGGAGTCCTCGTTCTACGCCGAGAACTCATAGCTCCGGCCTGTGATTTGGGCACTGGGGAGACTGAGGCAGGACACTGCAAGATCAAGCCCAACCTTTGCAATGTTGAGATTTAATGAGACATGCTTTCAAAATAAAATATAAAGAAAAAGATAATTGGCATGTAGCTCAATGCAATGGCCCTGCTTTTAATCCAAATGGCACAAAAGAGAAAGAAATAATAAAGAAGGAAAATATGGTTATTTTAAAGTATTAGAAAGTGGGATGAATTTGCATTTCATCATAAACAAACACGTGGAACATAGGTGGCCATCAAAACTTAAGACAATTGTAGCCGGGTGTGATGGCTCACACCTGTACTCCCAGCACTCGGGAGGCTGAGGCAGGAGGATCCTTGCGAGTTCGAGACTAGCCTGGGCTACAAAGTGAGCACAAGGCCAGCCTGAACTGCATAGCGAGACCCTGTCTCAAAAACACACAAAAGGGGCTGGGGATTTAGCTCAGTGGCATAAGCACCTGCCTTGCAAGCAGGCAGTCGTGAGTTCGATCCCTGGTACCGATAAAAAAAAGGAAAAAGACCAAAAAAAAAAAAAAAACCCTTAGACAATTGCAATGAGAGCAGCCGGACAACGACATAGAATTAGGTTTGAACTACAAGCAGTGGGTTTTGATCATTCATTAATGTGCAAAAGTACTCCGCTGTATGTAGAAACCAGGAAGTCATTTAAGATATTGAGGTTTTTGTTTTTAATTTTTGTTCTCTAAATTAGTCGAAAGTTCCACAGGCACAATAGTAGATAGGCATCCAGGATGGATAGGGCCTTCTGAGATTTGGAAATGGCCTATTCCTTGGTGTGCACTGCTCTACATATGGGCAGAAATCAACAAGGCTGTATATGTAAGAGTTTTTTATTTTATGTACATTATAAAGATACTTTTAAAAGTTTTAAAAAGTTAATATCTGTTTCTAAATTTAAAAGACAATTTTTACCTTCCTGAGAAAATTTGGAAAGTGAAGAAGACTTTGACTTTCTGATGTGGCAAGTCATATTACTTGTAAGAACTATGCTCATAAAACAACTACAAATTCTAGATGAAATATTCCTTTGAAAACCTCATAAATCTATCTAAATCTGACAAGATTCTAACATTCATATGAAGATATAGCAGAAATCAAGAAGGTAGAAAAGAATGTCAAATTCTTAATTTTGAAATAAGCAATTTGCACATCACTGAACTGAATTACATTTGGCACTGGTTTTGGAAGCCGAGGGTAGGAAATCTAATGAGTGATTGCAGGTAAATTTAAAGTGGAATGGAGAATGAATAAGTAAATTCTCCAGTCTATAGCACCAAGATTTTGCAGGAAGACTTGGCTTGAATGAGAGCGAACACACGCAAAAAAGAATAGGAAGAATATAAAGATACGTCATAACAGATTGAACCACCATGTGAATTACAGCCCAAATTCACAAAAATCTCTGAGTATAGTTTAGTGTCATCAGGTACTAGACTTATAGGACACTTAAAACCTGCACTAAAATGCAAATCCTTTCTGAATAAAGATGCTTTCATGTTAAACTATTGGGCAGCTCCCACAAACTCCCACAATCTGTTCAGGTGCACTGACCAATATCCAGTGAAAAATGACCACATACAAAATTAAGTGAAGTACCAGGAAGAAGTAACATGCGAAATCACCTTCAGATGTTATGATAATCTGGCACACATTATAAAGAACACAAAAACAAGCACTTTCTTTAAAGAAACAATAAGTTTAAAATATCTCCTAAAAATCATAAAAATGTCATTGTAGATAACAAAATAAGCCTGTGGAAATTAATACAATGAATGAAAATAAAAGCTCAAGTTGGACAGTAGTTGCACAGCAAAGGAAAGATCTAAAAAATGGTAAAAGTGGGGGGCTGGGGATTTAGCTCAGTGGCATAAGCACCTGCCTTGCAAGCAGGCAGTCGTGAGTTCGATCCCTGGTACCAATAAAAAAAAAGAAAAAAAGAAAAAAAAAATGGTAAAAGGGGATTCTTCATCATTTTTTTATAAAAGAAGCTATAATGGAACACAATAATTCCCCTTCGCATAGCCTATGGCTGCTTTTATACTAAAATGGCAGAGATGAAAAGTTGTGACAGACACTATGTGGCCCGTGAGTAAAAATGCTTATTGGAACTTTTACAGAGTAAATGGTCTGCCCCTTGGACTAGAATAAACACCAGAAGAATTTATCCAGGCAAAAAAGAGGCAAGGCACTCACGTGGTGGCAAACATTTGTAATGCCAGCATTCTGGGAAGCTGAAGCAAGAACGTTAAAGTGTCTTTATATTATCTTTTTATATTTTGTGAGACTCCTTTTGGTTTATATCTTGTACTCTGAGCAAAGACTATGAAGATAATGATACACAGTGTATTAACTATCATTATTTTATCATTTTATTATGACATTTTGTTTCATTTTTTATAAAATAAAAAGGTTAAAAGGAAAATAAAAGTTCAAGCCCAGCCTAGACAACTTAACAATGAGCAAGACTCTGTCACAAAATATGAGATGAAATACAGACAGGAATACAGCTCAGTACAAAGGTCCCAGATTCAATCTCAGTACCAAAAAAAAAAAAAAAGACAGGGGCATAGGGGCATGCTCAAATGAATTGTGACTGTAAGAGATGTGATTGGAAAATACAGTGAATGCTTGATTTTAAAACTATTTGTTATACTACAAGACACATTGCCATCGTCCTCAAAATACTACTTGGAATGTACTAAAGTCATCATTCTTGTCATTTCCTCATGCAGCTCTGAAGTACTTGTTCATGAGTGCCTTGACTTGCACTGTCATGGCAGCCTAGATATCCTGAATCAGTTTAAACTGTTTATGTTTCATGGTCTTTTTGACTTTTAGAGGAAGAACCACAAGTCATAGGGTGCCAGTTTCAGTCAACAGGAGGATGAGGACACATCCCAGTGTTTTTGCAAGTCTTCCTTTACCTTGGATGACACTAACCAGTAGCATTCACTAGAGTTTTGAAACACATCTCATAAAGACATCAAAGAGGACTTCCGCAACTGATTCAAAAAGTGGTAAAATTGATGGATGGGTAAGTGTGTAGTAAATTATAAGAGAGTTAAACCAAGACATTGATTTCTTTCTAGACAGAGGGTACATTGGAGATTTAATGGGGAAGTTCCAAAGAGCTTTTCATCAAAAGCAGAAAAGTGAAGAGATTTCAGAGCTGCAGATAGATGCAGGGGAGAGGGAAAGGGGAAGCAAAAAGAATTAAGATGTGTTATGTACAACATATGTATATACCAACACCCCACAATGATTATAAATATTATTTACAGCATGCATGTACCAATAAATTTTTAAATTTTTTCCATTAATACACAGAATATGGTGAGTCCTTTTATTTGGCTGAAGCAAAGAGTATAGTATGGAGTGATTTGCTGAAACTAAGTTGGAGGGCCCTGAATGTTAGACAAAGGAGTGCATAAAGAAATGAAGAACCACTATAGGTTTCCAATGAGAACAGGCATGATCAGAGCTTCACTCTGCTAGGGATAAGGTAGGATGTCAGAGGTATATTTGACCTGGGTATGGTGGCACACCTATAATTCCAGCACTCAGGAGGCTGAGGCAGAGAGAGTGCTTTGAGTCCTAGGTCAGTTTGGGCTACGTTGTGAGTTCAAAAGTTAGCCTTGAAGACTCAGATTCTTCAATGAAACTGAAAGGGAAGCAATCATTCCTAAGTCAATCCTGGGAGCAAATATTACTCTAGTACCAAAACCTGAGAAACACACAACTAAAAAAGAGAACTACACACCAATCTCCCTAATGAATATAGATGCAAAAATCCTCAATAAAACAATGGCAATAGGATGCAGCAAGTCATCATGAAGATTATACATCATGACCAAGTGGGATTCATCCCAGACATGCAGGGATGGTTCAACATATGTAAATCAATAAATGTAATCCACCACATCAATAAAGCCAAAAGTAAGAATCACATGGTCATTTCTATAGATGCAGAAAAAGCTTTTGATAAGATCCAACATTCATTTATGATAAGAACCTTACAGAAAATTGGAATAGATGGTCTTTACCTCAATACAATAAAGGCCATCTCTGACAAAACAACAGCCAGTATCATACTAAATGGCCAAAAATTGAAGGCCTTTACTTTAAAATCAGGAACAAGACAAGGATGTCCCTTATCACTGCTTCTATTTAATATAGTACTGGAAATACTAGCCAGAGCAATTAGACAAGAGAGAGAAATAAAAGGGGTAAAGATAGGAAAAGAAGAAGTTAAAATACCATTGTTTGCAGAGGACATAATACTCTATATAGAGGACCCCCAAAACTCCATTGAAAGACTTTTAGATATAATAAATAAATTCAGCAATGTTGCTAGATACAAAATCAATACTCAAAAATCAATAGCATTCCTCTACACTAACGAGAAAATCAGAGAGAGAAATAAGAAGAAACCCTTCACACTAGCAACTAAAAAAATGAAATATTTAGGAATTGGTCTCACGAAAGAAGTGAAAGACCTATACAGGGAAAATTATAATACACTGAAAAAAGAAATTGACGAGGATCTCAGAAAGTACAAAGACATCCTTTGCTCATGGATAGGAAGAATAAATATTGTGAAAATGGCCATTCTCCCAAAACTGTTATACAGATGCAATGCAATTCCGATAAAAATACCATCAACATACCTCATAGATCTCGAGAAATCACTCCTAAAATTCATCAGGAGTGAGAAGAGACCTAGAATAGCAAAGACAGTTCTAACCAACAAAGGCAAGGCAGGAGGCATCACAATCCCTGACTTGAAGTTATACTACATAGCAAATGTAGTAAAATCAACATGGTATTGGAACCAAAACAGAGCTGAAGATCAATGGA